TTACTGGTCTGAGTACACGAACTTTGTTAATAACCCTAAAAACACAGTTTGTACACAAATATAAATACTTATTTATACTTATTTTGTGTTTTTGTAATAGTTATAGGGAAAATATTACATCAGCAATTATTTTATTACCCTTTAAATTGATTTCTGGAGATTATCCAAGGTGCTTCATGACCCATAACTGTGTCCCAAGCCCAGCTTTGGGAACCAAAGTGCAGTGGTTCCCAAAGTTTTCAGCTTTTGACCCACAAAATAACAGTAGCAGAGACCTGTGCCCCAAACTATTTTTTGATGGTAAACATTTGCATTAGGCCAACTAAACATGGGCATAGTAATAATATTTTTTATACTACATTTATCCATTTTAAATACACTAGCCTCACTCATTTGTAACAACTAAGGCAAAAATGTCATTAATTCAGAAAATCTTTTCAGGACCCCACCTTGATGTTTCAGGTCCCCACTTTGGGTCCCGACCCCAACTTTGGGAAATACTGATTTAAATCAACTACCCAGAAACTTTACTATAATAGCATTCTCAGAAACGTGGTTTAATGATGAAAATGTGAATAATGTTAATATTGAGGGATAGGAGCTTTATCATATGAATAAAAGTAATGGAAGAGGTGGTGGAGTGGCTCTATTTATAGATAAGGAAATAAAATGTAGGAAAATTGATGAAATGACAGTAAGTATAGATAACATTATGGAAATATTAATTGAATTAATAAATAAAAATTCTAAAAATATTATAATAAGCTGTGTATATCGACCACCTGACTCAAATGTAGAATTATTCACTGATCAAATCATAGTTACTGGGAAAAGCTTCTAACAAAACAGTTTTTTGTGTCGAGACTAAAGTATTGACCTGGGTAGTAAAACAGAGACAAATATATTGGTACATTTATAAACTCAATGTACAGCCTAAATCTTTATCCCTTGATATCAAACCTACAAGAATCACTACTCATAGTGCCACAATAATTGATAATATTTTCACAAATATAACAAAAAGAGAGATAATGGGTGGTATTTTAATTACTGATGTAAGTGATCATCTACCATTTTCATAATTTATAAAAATTATCAATACAACACAGAAGTGGAAACAATTAAGAAAAAAAGAATTGACACATCAAAAAAAGCTATGGATAATTTAAAGGATGATTTGGGAAAACAAAACTGGAAAGATGTGTATGTTAGCGATGTGAACAAAACATATGATGCTTTCATGCAGGGTTCGACAAATCCTAGTGCCCGACTGCCCAAGGCAGGTAAAACCCATTGTCGGGCAGGTGGGTGTGTCCCAATGCCTGCCCGACCGGGCAGGTAAACTGTTTCTTTTATTTTTTTTATAGGGCCATTTATTCAGAATGTTCTGAAAATAAATGAAGAAATATGGCGTTTTAAAGCATGTAGAGAAAATAAATCGTCAAAATGTCCCCCTCCCGCTGTAGAAAAGTTACATCTTGCCGTCATGTCGCAGGATCACTTCCTCCCTCCTTCCAGCTGCATGGCGGGCAAAGAGAAGGTTTAACAACCGTAGATTTTTTCACACCCATGTTTTCGGAGGAAAAACATGTTTTTTATGTATTGTTACCGACAGAGATGAAAAAAATATGTGGACGTTCGTTCATAAATCCATCTTGCTAATGTCAGCGTCCTCTCCTTGGGCTGCTACCTTATCGTGGTGGAGGGGTTTGAGTGTCCCAATGATCCTAGGAGCTATGCTGTCTGGGGCTTTATGCCCCTGGTGGGGTCACCCAAGGCAAACAGGTCCTAGGTGAGGAACCAGACAAAGCGCAGCCCGAAGACCCCTTATGATGCCAAAAAACATTGGATCTGGCGTTCCCTCGCCCDGACGCGGGTCACCGGGGCCCCCCTCTGGAGCTAGGCCTGGAGGTGGGGCACAATGGCGAGCGCCTGGTGGCTGGGCTTTCACCCACGGAGCCCGGCCGGGCTCAGCCCGAACAGGAGACGTGGGTCCCTCTTCCAACAGGCTCACCACCGGTAGGRGGGGCCAAAGGGGTCGGGTGCAGAGTGAAATGGGCGGCGGCCGAAGGAGGGGACCCTGGTGGTCTGATCCTCGGCTGCAGAAGCTGGCTCTTGGGACGTGGAACGTCATTTCTCTGGTGGGGAAGGAGCCGGAGTTAGTGTGCAAGGCTGAGAGGTTTCGGCTAGAAATACACTCACCGGCCACTTTATTAGGTACACCACGCTTGTAACGGGTTGGACCCCCTTTTGCCTTCATAACTGCCTCAATTCTTCGTGGCATAGATTCAACAAGGTGCTGGA